GGAAGGAAGGGAAGGGAGGGAAGGGAGGTAAGAGAGGGAGGGAGGAAAGGCAGTTCTGTATAGAATGTGGATTTTTCCCACAAGAGACTTGTCAGGGCCATTTCAAGGTATGGCCAGGAAATATCCTTTGGGGTTAAATATGCTGTTTTTCCTTGTCTCATGATGTTATGCCAGAGCCGCGTTGGAAAGTAAGCTACCATACGTGGGGTTAAATAAAACCCAGCTGATGAGAACTCCCCAGACCCGAGTCAGGAATTTGGGCACGATAAAAAGACCAGAACTTCGTCATCATGACTTTGGCTGGAGCTTCTTCTGTCCTGAAATGTATCCTTGCCATGAAACACTATGGCTGAGAAGCCATGGAAAAGATGGGGTCTTAGGCCAGGCGCAGGGGCTTACACCTGCCATCTCGGTGCCCGACCAAGTCTCGTTTTCTGTTTGGCCGTCAGACAACGGGGCTCTCCACTTGCGGTGACACCCTCAGCTCCTTGTCTTTGGGAGTTTGCTTCTTCAAAACCAGCAAAAAGGGCGGGGTGCGGTGGCTCTCGCTTGTCATCCCAGCACTGTGGGAGGCTGAGGTGGGCGGATCATCTGAGGTCAGGAGTTCAAGACCAGCCTGGCCAACATGGTGAAACCCCGTCTCTAATAAAAATACAAAAATGAGCCACAGGCATGGTGGCGGGCGCCTGTAATCCCAGCTACTCAGGAGGCTGAGGCAGGAGAACTGCTTGAACCTGGGAGGTAGAGGTTGCAGTGAGCGGAAATTGTGACACTGCACTCCAGCCTGGGTGATAGAGTGAGACTCTGTCTCAAAAAAATAAAAAATAAAAACCCAGCAAAAGGATCTCTGAGGCCGTCTCAGGTTTCTTTGAAGAAGAAGAATTATGCATTCATCTCACCCTCTTTAAGGCAGGTCCACCACAGATGATCTCTCCTTTGATTAAACCCACGTATGCCTAGTGTTCCATTATCGGAACGCTAAGCATGTGGGAGTTATTATCTCCTACTGCTCAAGGTCATCGCCAAGATCTGACAGCAAAAATTCAAAAACTTGCAACTTCAGGCATAACTGGATTAACTCAAAGTTTTGAAGCAAAGTCTCCATTAGTTTAGAGGTTAATTTTGCCACAGCTAAGAATATGCCCCAGCCTAGGAAAAACAGACACAAGTCACCATAGGATCTGTGGTCCGTGCCTCTGCTCTGCTCTGCTCTTTTCTTTTCGAGACGGAGTCTCCCTCTGTCACCCAGGCTGGAGTGCAGTGGCGCCATCTCAGCTCACTGCACCCTCTACCTCCCGGGTTCAAGCAATTCTCCTGCCTCAGCCTCCCGAGTAGCCGGGATTACAAATGCACACCACCACGCCTGGCTCATTTTTGTATTTTCAGTACACATGGGGTTTCACCATGTTTGTCAGGCTGGTCTCGAACTCCTGACCTCGTGAGCTGTCTGTCTTGGCCTCCCAAAGTGCTGGGATTACAGGCGTGAGTCACTGTGGCCGGCCCTGTGCTTTTTCCAAGGATGGTTTTGAGGGCTTTGGTATATAAAGGGAAAAAAGCAGGCAGGAGGGAAAGAAGAAAGAAAAAAAAAAGGAAAGTAGATACAAGAGGCAAAAGATTACATTCTTGTGAGGGTTTGATTGGCACTCACTGAATCCACATTTTACATGTGAAAGTGGGGGGACAGGAACAGTCAGTCATGAATTCATTTCACGCACAGTGAATCCACTTTTGCATGAGACAAGGTAAACATACAGAAGAGGAAGATGTCAAACATGCATTTGTCCCAGGGTGGGTGGAGAGATCATTTCCAGTCTTCTCTTTGTCCCGCACTTGTGAAGACGAGTTGTTAATCTACACTGTCAGGGAGAAATTCAACAGAACTCTGTTTGAGGGGAAAGATTTCGGGGCCCGCAAGAAATTTTCTCGTGAGCAATTTGTGAGAGCGTCTCCACTGGGGAGGGATGTGCAGAAATGAAGAGGCTACAACAGGTGTCTGAAGATAGTCCTGAAGGCCAGGTGCAGTGGTTCATGCCTGTAATACCAGAGCTTTGGGAGGCTGAGGCAGGAGGATTGCTTGAGCCCAGGAGTTCAAGACCAGCCTGGGCAACACGATGAAACCTTGTGTCTATCAAAAATACAGAAAAAAAAAAAAAAAGTAGCTGGCTGTGGTGATGGTGGTGGGCGCCTGTAGTCCCAGCTACTTGGGAGGCTGAGGTGGGAGGATCACTTGAGCCCAGAAGGTCAAGGCTGCAGTGAGCTATGACTCTGCCACTGCACTCCAGCCTGGGCAACACAGTGAGACTTCATCTCAAAAAAAAAAAAAAAAGATGCCCCCCCAGCCAGATGAATGCACATGATCATTGGTTGGCATGGAAGGATAGGAAAAGGTGACGATGGAGTGGGTCCTTGAGGCTTCCTCCTCATTTCCTTACTGTACCGTCTAGGCAGACAAGGACACCATGACCGTAACAAGCAGCACAGGAAGCAGTGAGAAAAAGAGGAAGACCTTACCCAGAAGTGCTCTGAAAGCCACCCAGGTGAAACGGATGAGCTGCTGCATTCCGGGTCCACAGGACAGGAAAGTGACTAGAAGGAACCACATGGATTGGAAATTCAAGTGTTTACCAGGAAAACTTTCTGAGTGGGAAGCGGAGGTTCTGAAAAGACACAACGGAAGAGGGTTGTGGCTGTACCATCAAGACCAGTCACAGCCAAAGATCACTGTAAGATGCAAGGGAAGGCAGCAAGGAAGAGAGACAAGGAGGGAAGGTGAGGAGGGGGCGTTTCTCAGACTTGGGGAAAAGCAGTTTGTCCACAGAATATGCCAAGAGCAGCGCAAATCCCACAAGCTCCAGCAGAACCAGGGCACAAAATATGGATGGGTTGGGCATTTCAAAGCCCATACTCAGTGAATTTGTCCGTTCCATTATGTTCAAATGTGAGGGTCCCTACAAGAATTGTTCAAAATAGCAAGACTTGGAATGAACCCAAATGCCCATCAATGACAGACCGGATAAAGAAAATGTGGCACGTAGACACCATGGAATACTACGCAGCCATGAAAAAGGACGAGTTCATGTCCTTTCCAGGGACATGGGTGAAGCTGGAAACCATCTTTCTCAGCAAACTAACACAAGAACAGAAAACCACACACCGCATGTTCTCACTCATAAGTGGGAGCTGAACAATGAGAACACACGGACATAGGGAGGGGAACATCACACACGGGGGCCTGTCAGGGGGTTAGGGGCTAGGGGAGGGGTAGCATTAGGAGAAATACCTAATGTAGATCATGGGTTGATGGGTGCAGCAAACCACCATGGCACGTGTACACCTATGTAACAAACCTGCACGTTCTGCATATGTGCCCCAGAACTTAACACACAATTTTTTAAAAAAATTGTTTCTTTCTCGATTTAGCCTGCACCTTGGGTTATAGTGTCAGAGGCGTTTGAACCAGAGCTACTCTATCTTGAACAGGAGCTGGGAAAAATGAGGCTGAGACCTGCCAGGCTGCATTCCCAGGAGGTTGAGGTGTTCTAAGTCACAGGATGAGAGACAGGAGGTCGGCAGAAGATACAGGTCATAAGGACCTTGCTGGTAAAACAGGTTGCGGTACAGAAGCCGGCCAAACCCCACCAAAACCAAGATGGCGACGAGAGTGACCTCTGGCCTTCCTCACTGCTGATTATACGCTAACTCTGATGCATTTGCTGCTAAAAGACACTTCCGTCAGCCTCACGGCAGTTTACAGCTGTCACAGCAATGTCAGGAAGTTACCCTATACGGTCAAAAAGGGGAGGAACCCTCGCTTCCCAGAACTGCCCACCCCTTTCTCAGAAAACGCAGAAGAATCTTTCTCTTGTTTAGCACAGAATCAAGAAATAACCGTAAACATCACCAACAGGCGGCCCTCGGGGCTGCTCTGCCGATGGAGTGGCCCTTCTTCATTCCTGTACTTTCTTCATCAACTTGCTTTCACTTTACTCTACAGACTCGCCCCAAATTCCTTCTGGCACCAGATCCAAGAGCCCTCTCTTGGGGTCAGGATCAGCACCCCTTTCCAGCAACAATGCCTCATGTTTTCTAGAATCAGTTCATTACCTTGTGTGCCCACTGACAATTGTAATGCTCTAACCCAGGAGCTGCTCAACTGCAGCCCTCCAGCAAAATCCAGCCCCTTGCCTATTTCTGTGCACCTTGTAAACCAAAAAACTATTTCCACATCTTTTGAACAGTTGGTTAAAAAAAATCAAAAGAAGGAGAACACGGTTGACTGTTGGACAACAGACATCTGAACTGAGCGGATTCACCTACGTGGAGTTTCACCCCTGAAATGACTCCTTCTCCCTCCTCGT